GCAATGGAACTCGCAAATGCTGCTGGTTATATATAAAATGAACATAACCTTTTTGAAAAACAATGTAACACTGTCAAAAGATCTATGAAATGGGCTGGGTGTATAGGTGCATGCCTTTAGTCCCAGCACTCAGGAGGAAGAGGCAGGTGGATTTCTGTGAGTTCTAGGACAGCCTGGTCTACATAGTGAATTCCAGACCAACCAGGGCTACACAGTGAGATCTTGTCTCAAAAAGATTCTGCTTCTAGGAATCTATCTTAAAAAGATAATTAGATATGTCAGTCCAATGCAAGACTGTGTCACAGAAAGCTAGAAGGGAAATTGCTCAAATTCCCAAGAATAGGAAATGGAATAAATTATCTTTGGTACATTGAATCACTGGGTTACTTTGTGACTATTAGATTAATAAGGTAAAGTTGCAGTTACTGACATGGGAAAATGTACAGAAAAATCATTAAATGAGAAAAGTAGGACATAGGACTGGTTGTTTCCACATGGCTACCCCCATATATATCTATATAACATTTCTGTAAAGAATACGCCAAGATAGACTGCATGGTCCCATGTACATGAGGAATCTGAAAAAGTCAAACTCATAGAAGCAGGGAATACAGTCCTGGTTGCTGACACTGTAGAGTGAGGATGGCAGGGAAGAGGAAAGCTGAAAACCAGTACAACAGTAAGTTGAACAGGACAAACACATTTTGGTGATTCCAATTAACAAAGATGTATATTTCAAAGTTGCTAATAAATTTTAGATGTTCTTACCACAAAGTAATGACGTAGTGTGTGAGGCCTGGATATCTTAATGAGTCTGATTTGCTTATTCCCTAATGTCTTTTAAGATCTTTAAAAATTTTAATTTGTACAAGTATTTTGATGGTCAATATGTTTATTGGTATGTGTGTAGTGCCCACAAAGGCCAGAAACAGACAACGGAGCCAGAGCCACTATGTGGGCGCTGGGAGTTGAACCTGGTCCTCTGGAAAAAACAGCAAGTGCTCTTATCCTCTGAGCCACCCCTCCAGCCCCAGTTATTCCATAATGTTTACATGCCTCCTAACATTACATGAAACTCCCTTAATATGTACAAATATTATTTGTCAATTAAAAATAAAATTAACAGAGTGGCCAGATGGCTCAGTGGGTAAAGGTGCTGGCCACTGAGCCTGACCACTTAAGTTCAGTCCCTAGAATCTGAATGGTAGAAGGAGAGAATTGACTCCCACTGGTTGTCCTCTGACCTGCACATGTGCACCATGGTACACACACCCACACACATACACTAACACACAAATAAAAAATGTAAAATTGCCAGGTGTGGTTATGCACGCCTTTAATCCCCACACTCAGGAAGCAGAGGTAGGTGGATCAATGTGTGATTGAAGCCAGTCTGGTCTACATAGTGAGTTCCAGGTCAGCTGGAGCTACATAGTGAGACCCTATCTCAAAACAAACAAGACCTGAAAATTAAGTAAATAAAAAGCATACACCAAGATATTATGAGTGGTTATTTCTATCTCTGGATGGTAGCATTACCGTTGTATTTAAAACTAATTTTGAATTTTTAGTTTTTGGTATGTCTAAGATGAAATATGAATTACTTGTATATTTAATTAGGAATAAATGGAGGATTCACTGGTATCTTCTTTCAGTTTTTAAATGTTGTCTTACTTCATTTGTTTAAGATAGGCTCTCACTGTGTAGCCCAGGCTAGCTTCAATCTCATGATCCTCTTGAGTGCTGGGATTCTGGGCATGCACCTGGCCATTTTCTTATATTTCATTTCCTTCCTTCCCTCCCTTCCTTCCCTCCTCCTCTCCTTTCCTTTCCTTTCCCTTTCCTTTCCTTTCCTTTCCTTTCCTACCCTTTCCCTTTCCCTTTCCCTTTCCCTTTCCTTTCCTTTTTTGGAGACAGGGTGTCCCTGTAACCCCAGCTCTTCCTTCCTTCCTTCCTTCCTTCCTTCCTTCCTTCCTTCCTTCCTTCCTTCCTTCCTGACATGGTCTCCCTGTAGCTCCAGCTGACCTGGAACTAGCAATGTAAATCAAGCTGGCCTCGATCTCACAGAGATCCACCTGCCTTTGCCTCCTGGGTGCTGGGATTAAGCTGTTTTCTTAAATTTCTTATATGCACTTATAGCCAACAACACAGCTGCAAATAAGTTCAGAATGCTGTCAGTTGTGTTTTCCACTTGGGGAGCAACGTAGGCCAATGAGGCTCATAATCCTAGGAAGGGCTCTTGATTGGCCCCATCCCACCTTGTGGTACTTGTCCAGAGACTCCCAATTTAACTTGGATTAAGTGCAGGTCATTAGAGAAGATTTGGGACTCTGAATTTGCGTGTTAAAGGGGAGAGGATTTCGATACGTTATTGTATGGATTTTAAGAATTCAAATAGATTTCCCATGGGACAATTGTAATGTCTTTCTCTCCTTGAACCCATGCTCTTACTTTCTCATAGATTTCCTGGGTGAGTTATGCCTATATCCAAATAAAGCAAATGCTCAGCAGTTTTAAGCGATAATGGTTTTATTATGTCTGATAGTTTCTGATGGTCAGGGGTTCAAACAGGGACTGCTGAGGCATCTTACCTCAGCTTCACAATGTCTGAGCCTCAGCTGGAAAGACCAGTGGGCGGGAGCTGGAACCAACTGAAGGCTCACTCACCCACGAAACTGGTGGCTGACACCGGCTGCCTGCCAGTCAGCTCGCCTACAGTGTCAGCATGGCCTTCTCATGTGGCCAGGCAAAGCCGGGGCTGAGGCCAAGAGCAAATATTCTGGGAGAGATCTCAGGAGAAGCTGTACCCTTGCCATGGCCTACCCTTGGAAGGGGTCAGCGTCATTACACTGGACTCCAAGGGCAGGAGGAGTTAGGAGCCTCTGCCCAAATTCTAGAGAATGAAACAGAGACTCCGGTTTACGTTGGGAGTATGTCAGTGCTACACTGAAAGAGCAGGTGGTATTGAATAGATATACTGATGTAGCCCTACTTGGAAAATGCAACCCTGTCCAAATTTCTATAGGAATGTATTAAGCAACCTCCCTCCCTCCGCATCTGTTTCTGTGTGTCGTGTCCCCCATCCTGTCCCGTGCCCCCCCCCACCCCGCGCTCTCTGAGGCAAGTCTTATGTAGCTCAAACTAGCCTCCCAGGATGAAAATGACCTTGAACTCCTGATCCTCCTGCCTCTACCCCTCTCAAGTGCTTAGATTACAAATCTATGCCACCATGTCTGATTTTTTTCCCCCTAAATATCTGGAATCTGTGTCTTGTTTTCAATATTTAATGGTGTGCGTGTGTGTGTATGTGTGTGTGTATGTGTGTGTGTGTGTGTGTGTGTGTGTGTGTGTGTAAGTCAGTTCTCTCCTTTCACTTTGAGTTCCAGGAATTGAACTCAGGTAGTTATACTTGTGCAGCAAGGACTTTTACCCACTGAGACATTTCACTGGCTTTGAATCTTTAAAATTTTTTAAAATCTGGGGCTGAGGATGTAGCTCAGTGGTAGAGTAATTGCCAAGCATGTGTGAGGCTCAGAGTTCCTTCCCCAGCAGAGAGGGAGAGAGAGAGAGGGAGAGGGAGAGGGGAAGGCGGAGGGGGAGGGAAGGAGGGGGGGAGAGAGAGAGAGAGAGAGAGAGAGAGAGAGAGAGAGAGAGAGCACGCGAGAGCACACACACACACACACACACACACACACACGCATGCAATCTGAAGGATTTTTCTTTGTTCTCTGCCTTTCTTCCCATCCCGTTGGCCTTCCTCCCTCCCTCCCTCCCCTTCATCTGTCCTTCCTTTCAGTTATATAAACGGCACAGCCATCAGCGAGCTATTGTTTCATGATGCAAAGTCTTGCCAGCAGGATCACTGTGACAGTCTGCCTGGTGGCTCCCTAAATGATTTTATTTTTGATGTTTACATTCTATATTCCCCTGTCACCACATCTTTTATGCTCTGGAGACAGGAAGACTGTCTTTTCAAACAATTCTTTGTTATAGCTTACCTAATTATTTCTAAGAAAGATTACATGACATTAAAAGCATTAAAATTGATATAATGTTCTTCTCCAACAAAGGCTTTAGGATGCTTGCTACGTGCTAGGCCCTGTTCCAGGCAGACGTTTTCCAAAGCATTAACCTGTGTAGTCTTCCTAACGTTGTTCCCAAAATACAAATGAGGAAACTGAGGCAAAGACTTGCCGGAAGTCACAGAACTATCACATGGCAGAGCCGAATGTCAAACTTAAACATGTAGTCTTTGTTTGTTGTTTTGTTTCTTGTTTATTGGGATAGGGTCTCACTGTGTAACCGAGGTTGGCCTTGAACTCTTGATCCTCCTGCCTTTGCTCCTGAGTGCTGGAATTATACTCCCGTGCCACCATACCCGGCATCCTGGTCAGTTCCTGTCACATCCAGCCCAAATGTATGTTCTTGATACCACAGTCCGTTGCCTCTCTGTCACTGCTTCATTGATCCCTTATTAACTTAAGCAACAAGGACTGTATAGACCTGTGAATACCAGTTCTCAGATAGCCAGAACACTGACTAGTTTGGGGAAACAGGCCTTGATGCCTGGGATAGGCCTGGGAGGGAGGGTGGTGTACCAGCCCCAATCCTGCCCCCTGCCCTTGGCCTTGGTTTTGACCTTGCCCTGCCCCCTCAGGCTAAGAAGGAACAACACTCATCCTGAAGCTACCCTGTGGTTGGCCCCTGGCTTCCCTCACACATCTCCATCCGAGTATGTGAGTGGGAAGCCCCATGGGAGTTTGCTAACCCACGATCCGAAGTAGTTGGTTGCTATTCAGTGATATTTTGTTCATGGAACTCCTGTCCTATGGCAGTTGGAGACATCGAGAGATTTCAAGTGACTTCTCCATATCCTACAGTCAAAAGACTTGAGATTTGAACAAAGTTAACTGCAAAGTACTCTCCCCCAAACAGGTTCCCCAACCACGATCAATTGATCAGGCTTCCTGGGCTGAGCTGCTAGCAGTCTAAAGACTTACCTAGACAAAGCCCGCCTGAGGAGGCTGTGGGTGACAGAGAGCTGTCAGAAGTCTCCCTCTGAATATACACCATGCTGCACAGCTGGAATTCTGTGACAAGTACTCAGAAATATTTCAATGAACTTATCAGGGGGATTCATCTGATTCCACACAGTGTTTTCCAGAAAGAGTTTTCTGAGAGGACAACTCTGGGGAAAAAAATTAAAAAGAAAGTTTTCCATCGGCTGAAAAGCACCATGTATCCAAAAGAGTAAATAATCTACTTGTTACTGGACTAGAGAAAACTGTGACATGGGTCCCTGAGGCAGACTTTCAGGAAACCAGGGAGAAAGGAAAGAGCTAAAAGAGAGAAAGCTCAGAAAATATGTAGTTTGGTTTTGGATACTAGCCAGGAAAAACTGGATACTGAAGGATTAAAATCAAAACAAAAGTGCAAAGGAAATGAGGGTAAGGAAAGGGCCTCGGCGATAAAAAGCCGGTGAAGTATAGGGTCAGCACTAGTGACGAGACTCAGATCTCCTTGTAAGTGGGACTGTGGGCATCGGGTGTGGGGGAAGCAGGCCAAGTTCACACTTAGTGAAAAAAGAGAGCAAACACATGAGCAGAGGGGGAAAGCGAATAAGGAACTAGACTAGAAAGAGAAAAAGGAAGTAATTTTAACAGGAAACTGACCAAAGTAGACAGGGACAGCGTCATCCAAAGGGGAATGGGGAGCAGGGGAAGTGAGCAACAGCAGAGAAGTTCACTGGGAGATGGCCTTAAATGTTAAAAAGTAGAAGCCTTTCAAATGACTTGCAAGTCCTCTCCCAGCAAATTTCAGATGATGAGAGCTCTGGATGCTGTCATAAGTAGGAACTGTTGGCTAGTGGTTTGGATGGGATTCTTGTGACTGTCTTAAGTGCTCCAAAGGCTTGGGGCAGGGGCAGGGGGCAGGGTTGTGCAAGGCTGTGAAGAAGACATGGTGGGGAGGGCAGTGAGATGTCATTGGGAGAGATGGGTGCGTGGCTGGGCCCAAAGAACCCCTCTTCTCCAGCTGTTGGCTGCAAACAGGCTGGTGCAGCCTTCTCTAAGCTTTAGAGCATGTTCTGACCTTGGCTGGAACAGCTTGAGTCCTAATTCCACATGCTGGGACTCAAATGGAATTCTTGTGGCTTGGTTTATCTTGACCTTGAGTTTTTTCTCTCCTTAATTGAAAGTCATTGTTCTGTGAGTTCATAGCCAGTTCTGCATGTTCTTAGCAATGGATCTACTTTTGACCTTCTATTGTCTTTGGACTTGTTTCTTCTATTTGGGACACTGCCTTGATCACCCATCTTCCTAACATCCTCTGCGGCTTGAGATCCTGCCTTAGTCTTGCCAAGTTCAATCTGGAGTCTCAAGTCTTACCCAAACTTCTTCCCACTGGTTAGCTGCAAATAGTAGAGACAGGTGACTCTGTTACTCATTGCCTGTCAGTCCCTTGGCTGTCTAAGCACTGCCTATATCTGAACTCCTATGAGGTGCGTTGAGCACCTTTAAAGACGTACTGTTTACCTGGCTTTGACCTCTGTCTGTCTCTGTCTCTGTCTCTCTCTGTATCTCTGTGTCTGTCTCTGTCTCTTTGAATGCACATGCATGTATGCATGCATGTGTGTGTGCGTGCATGCGTGCGTGTGTGTGTGTGTGTGTGTGTGTGTGTGTGTGTGTGTGTGGTGAATGTGTATCAAGCAGAGGTTGATGTCAGGTGTCTTCCTTAATCACTTTCTACCTTATTTTTAAAGATTTTTTATTATTATGTGTGTGTCTGCATGAATTTATGTGTACCATATGTGTGCAGATGCTGGCAGAGTGCAGAGGTCACCAAATCCCCTGGCACTGGAATTACAGGTGGTTGTTAGCCACCTGATATGGGTGCTGGGAAAAGAACCCAGGTCCTCTGAAATGGCAGCTAGTGCTCTTAATTGCTGAGCCATCTCTCCAGTCCCCCACCTTATTTTTTGAGACAGGGTCTCTTACTGAACCTGGAGCTCACTGTTTCAGCTAGATTGACTGACCAGTGAGATCCTAGGATCCTCTGATTCCCCAACACTTGGGTTATAGACGTATAGCACTATGTCTGTCTTTTTATGTGGGTGCTAGGGATCTGAACTCAAGTCCTCATGCTTGCACAGCAGTCACTTCACACACTGAACCATCTCCCCACAGTCCCAATTTTGGCCTTTCTAGTGTTGGCCTGTGTACTCAGTGAGCTGTCCTTTGCCATAGCCACCACATGTCATAGGCTACATTTGATGGCTCTCAACCCAGAACCTGGATCTATGGCCCCTAGAGCTGTGCTTGTCCTGCCAGCATCATCAGTCCAATGGTGCTGATTGCAGCCTGCCCATCTCACTGCAGCCAACTTGGTCATTCTAGGATGGTTTTTTGGGTCTAAAAAAATAAAAATAAAAATGAATAGCTCGCTTCAGTATCTTCAAAAATACTTTACTAGTACGGTTGTATATTTAATTACACTGGAGCCAAGAAGAAACGAGGAAAAACACATTTAAAATTCAGAGACGTGGCAGATACTGACATTGGTCTATTCATAGCCCCTTGGCACTCACTCTTTCAGCACAAGTCCAAGATTTCTACTGCAAGGGCCTGTGGCTCAAAGCGTGTACAAATTCCTTAAGCTGTGGCCAGCACAGGCAGGAAGTGCCAAAGAAGGAAGCTGGGAATCAGCTTAGGAGAAATAGTACAGTTTCCTGCCTTCAGGGTGTGTGTGTGTGTGTGTGTGTGTGTGTGTGTGTGTGTGTAGATGACTGCAAAGTGCCTTTTACAGTGTCTCCTAGGGGCCCCAGTGGACTAGAGCCTGGCTTGCCCATAACGGTGACATGCTCAATAACTCACCCTTTTTATCTTCCTCATGTTCCTTGTATCATTTTCCAACCAGTCTTTCCTGAGATTGCCTCTCCCCTTGCATGCCAAATTGGTGCTCATATGCCTGTCCTGCAAGAATCCAAACATGAAGACTCACAGTCAAAGGATTTCATCATTTTCTTGAGAAATATTTTGTTTTGTTTTGTTTTTTGTTTTTTTGAGACAGGGTCTCCCTGTAGCCCCAGCTGTCCTGAAACTTACTATGTAGACCAGGCTGGCCTTGATCTCCCAGAAATCCAGCTGCCTCTGCCACTCAAATTCTGGGATTAAAGGTATGAGCCACTATGTCTATCTTGAGAAATACTTTGAACACTAGCATGATATACTTTCTATAATGTGACATGAGAGAAACAAACAACAAAATCACCTGAGAACAGTATTCCTATTTGGGTCATAGGGGTTCTACTTGCATCTGAGATATTAATAGAGGTCATGAGATTTTGTGGTCAAATCAGTTTAGATCACACAAAATTAAGCAAAGTTCTTCATTTCGGTATTCCTGTAGGAAACTGATGGGCTTTGTAAATATCCAGAAGTATATGTCACAGACTTTCCACATTTGATTAATCGCATGATCCACCTGCCTCAACCTTGAAAGTACTTGGATTATGGACCTGTGCCACCATCCCTGATTGGGACATAAGGTTTTATATATTGAAACTGGTGAAATGATAATACAAAAAGACTGTGATCAGTTACATGCATATAATGCATTATATATGTGGTATACACATTATTTAGAGGAACCAATAAGAAAACTGTGCAAGGAGATAAACTCAATAATACTACTGACAAATCAAAATGGAATTCTTTAGAATTTCTTTACAATACTCCAGTAACCCATTGGAAGTCAGAAAAAATGAAACAGAAATGAAAATCAGAGAATGAACAACAACAACAAAACTCAAATAACATGCAGACCTAAAAATTTGCATATCAAATAATTACATTTAGGTTAATGGCCTAATATACCAATTACAATGCAGAGATTGGCAGAATGCATTTTAAAAAATGACCCATGCACTGGAGAGCTGGCTCAGCGGTTAAGAGCACTGACTGCTCTTGCAAAGGACCTGGGTTAGAGTCTCAGCACCCACATGGTGGCTAACAACCATGTAACTGCAGTTCCAGGGGATCTTACATCCTCTTCTGACATTCTTGGGCATTGCATGATACGGGTGTACCTACCTACATGCAAACAATACGCTCATACACATAAAATAAAAATAATAAAATATTTTTAAAATGACCTACATATAATAGAGTACATTAAATTGGGTGGGGGCAGCAGGGGAGGTGTGGACTGGGGAGAGGCTATCAAATTATATTGTATGAAAATGGCAAAAATTTGAAAAAATTGTAATGACCCAACTATATGTTGTCTACAAGAAACATACCTCAGAGAAGATAGTAGTTTAAAAGAGAAAACACAGGAAAGCTATATAATTCAAACATTAATTAAAAGAAAGCAGTAGTGGTCATAACAGTATCAGAGAAGATGCAGAGAAAAGAAAATACCAGCAACACAGAGTATTGTGACATAATGATAAAGTGTTAGTTACTATACCAACGAGGTACCAATTTCTATGTGTGGATGCACCAAATCATAGAGAAAAATGTATGAATCAAAAATGAAAGGACTAATGCTGACAGTGGTGGCACAGGCCTTTCTTTAATCTCAGCACTTAAGAGGCAGAAGCAGGCTAATCTCTGGGATATTGAGGCCAGCCTGGTCTACATAGTGAGCTCCAGGCCAGATGGGGAAACAGGGAGACCTTGTCTCAAAAAAAAACACCACTAACAACAACAAAACAAACAAACAAAACAAAAAAGAAAAATTATAGGACTTGGGGATGGTGAGATGACTCTGTGGTTAAGAGCAAGTACTGCTCTTGCAGAGGACCAGAGTTTGGTTCCCAACACTCACATAGAGTGGCTCACAACATTCTGTGACTCCAGCTACAAAGTATTCAATGCTCTCTTCTGGCTTCTGTGGGCACCTGCATTCATGTACACATACACACAACACACTCGTATACATAATTTAAAATAAAATAAAATCTAAGAGAAAAATTATATGACTGGAAGGAGAAACAGACAAAACCACAACTATAGACAGAGACTCCATTCTTTCAACAATTTATAAAAAGCTGGACAAAAGAAGATACCGCCGCCATCAACTAACAGAATGAACTCAACGTAGAACGGTCCAACGGACAGTAGAATGGGGATTCTTTTTTTTTTCAATTTTTTTTTTCTTTTTGAGCCAGGGTCTCCCTGTAGTCCCAGCTGGCCTGAACTCACTATGTAGACCAGGCTGGCCTTGAACTCATAGAGATCCGCCTGCCTCTGCCTCCCGAGTGCTGGGATTAAAGGTATGTGCCACCACGCCCGGCAAAATGGGCATTCTTTATATTATGATCACTGTCTGTGATGTAATCAATAACAGAAAGCTAATGGGAATATCTCCAAACCCTTGGACACAAAATCTAACGCTTCCAAACAATCTATAGGTCAAAGAGGGAATCTCAGGTGAACCTAAAAAGTACATTGAATTGAATAAGGATAAATTTAAAACACATGCTAGCAAAATGTATGGTATGTACATTGCTGGGAAGAAAGTTAAGACAACTACATGCTTATGGTAGAGAAAAGTTCTCCAATCTATGACTTAAGATCCCATCTTAAGAACGTCTTCCTTAGAAGAAGAGCAAAATATGACCCAAGAAGGAGGAAACTAGTAAAGAGAAGAGAGATCAGTGAGATCAAACACAGGAAAAAAAGAGAGAGAGCCCAAACAAAAAGTTGATTCTTTGCAAAGATCAATAAAACATGGGGCGGTTATACCAACCCACACATTTGACAACATGACAGAATTAGACACAGAGGCTATGCCAGTGTCAACTTCCTGGTTTGCACACTGCACTTTAACTATATTAAATGTAAGCATGGGATAGCAAGGTGAAGGGTTCATGGGTCTTATCTGGATCACCTTTGTAACTTCCTTTGACTCTGGAATTATCTTACAATAAAAAGTGAGCTGAGTGTAGAGAGACACCCCTGCAATTGGGAGGCAGAGGCAGGAGGTCCCGAAATTCAAGGTCAGCCCAGACTATGCTGTGACATCTTTTCTCAAAAAGAATGAATAAATAAGGTTTTAAATTCAAGACATTTAAAAATGGTTTTGCAACCTAAACATTATTATACAGTGCTATATTTTACAGGTTGTGTAAAGTTCTTTACAGAAAAACTACAGGATGCTAAGAGAGTTTATAGCAAATGTTCTTAATAACACATGATTCTATGACCTTGCAAGAGCCTGGCCATCTTTTTCTAAATGTTGTCTAATCTCTCAGGCTCCTTCTTGATTAGTGATGCTCAGGACAGAACAGCCAGTCAGCCAACATCAGAAAGAATATCACTTTTCTTGTTCTCAACACAATACTTTTGTTAATGTAGTCAGAGTCATCTAAGTAGCCATAGCACATATTTCTCTCTCCCTCTCTCTCTCTCTCCCTCTCTCTCTCTCTACATATATGTGTGTGTGTGTGTGTGTGTGTGTGTGTGTGTGTGTTGTGAAAGGGTCTTGCTGTGTAGCTCAGATGCTCAGATAGCCTGGAATTCACTATGTAGCCCAGGCTGACCTTGAACTTGTGATCCTTCTGTCTTAACCTCCCTAATGCTGGTGTTACAGGTGTATGCCACCATGCCCTGTTCATGCCCTGTTCTAGCCTTATAGTGAAATAAAATCTTCAGATCCTTGCATGTGACAATCAAAGCAGTTCCCCCATTAGCACTTATAGACTATCATGAGCCTAAATAGAAGCTCTTTCATCAAGAACTGTGGAATTCAGTCCAGCTCTGTTGCAGCCATCAAAGTTTTTCAACTCCATTTGTTGTCCATAATGAGGGCTGTCTTCCTCTGGAGAGTCATCTGTAGAAATGTTCTTTATAATGTCCCATCTTTATCTCAGACACTAGTCCTCCGAATGTTGAGCAGCAGCCATGGAGGTGAGGTGAGTGAGATATGTGGCTCTGATCTTCAGGAAAGAATTTCCCACTTAGCTGCAAGAAATAAGCCATCAATCAGCAATTAATGTCTTCACAGCTTTCCAAAGCTCTTTTTAATAAGAACATATGGGGGGTGGTAGAGAGATGGCTCATTGATTAAGAGCATACACTGCTCTTGTAGAGGGCCTGAGTTCAGGTCCTAGCACCCACATCAGGCAGATCACGACTGCCTGTAAATCCGGCACCAAGGGATCCCATGCCTCTGACATCCTTGAGTAACTGTACTCATGTGCATATATCCCACACAGACACACATAATTAAAATAATAAAAATAAATCTTTGTTTTTGAGACAGGGTTTTCCTGTAGCCACAGCTAGCCTGGAATTCAATATGTAGACCAGGCTGGCCTCGTTCTCACAGAGATCTGTCTGCTTCTGCCTCCAGAGTGCTGGGATTAAAAAAAATCAAGGTCGAACCAGGTGTGGTGGCCTATGCACTTGGGAGGAAGACACAGGCGGGTGTCTGTGAGTTCAAAGCCCAGCCTGGTTTGAAGCCAGTTCCAAGCCAGCTATGGCTAAATAGTGAGACACTATTTAAACACACACACACACACACACACACACACACACACACACACAAAACCCCTCATAATCTGAGGTGTACTTTTTAAAAAAACTTTAAGGGTACAGTATTAACAATGTTTTACTGTGTATTGCTAAATAAACCTATGATGAAAAATAAAATTTTTGTAAAAACACTGAAGCATACAGGATGTACAGAAGTAAGTCTGCTCACCATCAGGATACCAAATAATTCAGTAACGTATTCAGGATTCAACCAGAGGCTTAAGGAACTTTAATGCTTTAAAAAATTCTGCCCTGCCACTTTTCACTTGAGCAACTTTATGTAAAATGTAACCAAGTGAGCAAGAATGCCAGAAAAAAAAATGTATGCCAGAAAAAAAATGTGTGTGTTCGTGTGTGTGTGTGTGTTGGGGCTAGAACCTTGTGCATTCTAAGCAAGCACTGTACCATTGAGCTATGTCCCTGCCCCCTTTTTAACTTGTAGTTTTTAGACAGTGTCTCACCAAATTGCCCAGGCTGAACATGAACTGGTAGCCCAGGCAGGCCTTG